TGTAGTATGCAATTCAGTGTTATTATGCAGTGTTAATGCCTAAGCATTTAGATAATGAGCAGAGTTTTGTGCAATGGTTAATTTAAAGTCTTAAATTGCAGTTTTTCCACAATTGCATCTGCAAAAATCTCATTTCATAACTATTCTGTCAGGAAACTAATCATGCTTACGTTAACCTGGTTCACACAGTTGTAACCATAATGTCTTAAATAATTCAGTTGTCTCGGTTTACAGATCAGAAACAGGATCAGCCAAGACAAAACAGTTTCATCTTCCAAGACCTTCAATTTTAGAGAGTTGTGCTGATCAGTCTTCAAACTGGCACGTTGAGAATAGTGCTGTGACTGGTCCATATTTTGTGGTTTTAACCACTTGAGATTAAAGAAACAAAAATAGTTTGTGTTATGAGCCAAGAGACAAAAAACATAGGAAATATTTCTAAGAATTAAGACCTTTTTTCCTACTTGAAGAACTATCAAGAGGAAGAATTCACTGTTGCTGTAATTTTCTTTTGTGTAGTGAGGATAAATCTATGTTTGCATTAATGAACTTCTAACATATTACAAAAAAATCATTCAGTTACCTAGAGTTGAAAATAAAGAGTAATAAATCCCATTGGCCTCTCTGACCTGCACAGCCTCTCTGGTGCATACTTTCTCAAACCATGCACTATCTCTCACATATTTGCACATGCCATTCATGACCTGCACCATCAAGTACCCCTTCATTCAGTCTTCCACCTGATGGTAGCCATTTACCTGCCTGCTGGCCTTGCATTTGCAGCTTCCCAGCAGTGAATGGGGAAGCTGCTGGGAATTTGAGGGAGAGAGGGAGTTTTCTGATACTCTGCCAGTTTTCCACAAGGAAACTCAGTTTGAAGTCAAGTCATTCTTGCTCCCACTCTTTTTGCCCCGCCATTGGTCATTGCATTTCTCTGTTTAGATAATATCATTTGAAAAGATGATCCAATGGGGCTTGGCTTGTTTAATTTCTGATAAATGCATTAAATTAAATTAATCCTGTACTTTTAAAAAGCTTCTCTTTTGCTATGTCTGTCCTGTTTCTTATTGTTGGGATCAGATTGAATAGAATACGAATCGTGTTGGCGCTGTAGATAAAATGCAGTATTGCAGGCTAACTCTGCCCACAGCCAGGAGTTAGATCTTGATTGATGCAGCTTCCATCCTTCTGAGGTTGATATGAGGACCCAGATTGTTGGGGGCACTTCGTAAACTGCTTAGAGATGGCTGTAAAGCACTATGAAGTGGTATATAAGTCTAAATGCTATTGCTATTTTTTGTTGTTGTATTCCTTGATTTCTCAGCCAGAGGGAACACTGATCAGCTCATAATGCCATCAGCATTTCAAGGATCAGCAGCAAAGACAATCACAGGTTAGCTGAGCCCCCTTGAAAGGCTGTGGTGTGGTGAAGCATCACTAAAATTCTGCATAAGCAAATTGCAGAGCTAGTAGGGTTGATGATTTTAGGATATTGCATATCTGCATTACATTTATGTACACTAACAAAGCCAGCTGCAACAATAAAATTATAATTCACAAAGGCTTTTACCTACTGCTAGGCAAATCTAGAAAATTTCTGAGGTAGTATCAAACCACCAACCAGGTAGTATTAAGCTACATTATATACTTTATTTTCTTTCATGGATGCCAGTTACCTAGTTTCTGTTTCTGATAATTACATCAATTTAACTGCAATCCAAGATTGAAATTGTATTTTGCTGCAAATCAGGAGGCAAGGATTTAGTGCATTTAAGGAAGAAAAAACTACATATGAAACGAGGCTCCTGTTTGCTTCCTTACATGAAGTCATAAGCTGATGTTGGGTCTCATACTTAAGAATACAGATAGCAAATGATTGGCAGGATGCTTTTCTTATCCTTATTAAGATAAGTAGTGACTTGTTCCTTTGGTTAGTACTACAATTAAATTTTATTTTTACTGTAATAATATATAATTGGTAGTTCAGGTGTTTCCATCCTTCCCCTGTAGACTGATAGATGATTCAACTGTCAAGAGCTGGTTTTTTCCCTTATAATTATTGTCCTTTTTATTAATAGTTACAGCACTGTTTTGTACTGATTTTTTTTTAACTCTCTAAAATTAAAGGTTGAGTTATTACTTAAAACAACATCTTTGGGTTCAGAGTTTGGTAATGCATTGTATTTACTAAAGTATACTGAATGGTATGAAGACCCTGAAATGTTTATTTTAGCAGATGGAGAAAAAAATCTTATGATTAAGCAGATAAATGATAGATGCAATAACACTACTGTTATAAGAGCGAGGAATATCTCTTTTTAAAATTTTGCTGACAATTTTAAATGTTCTGTGTTGATTAAACTTCGATTTTAGAAAGTTACAAATGGACAAAGGTTGAAATAAATTTGAAATAAGATTTTGGAATTAATTGTGAGAATGCAAAAAATCTTTTATTTTGAATTCCTTTTTAAAGCAAGCATAATAAGATAAGAATTGGATACTAGAGAGAACTAAAGATTATAATAATGGAAAATAATCAAACACAAGTCAGTTATAGAATAAAACAAAATATTTCAATATTGGACCAATTGAAGTATATTTTCGAACAATAAACCCAGAAATTAATTTTAAGAGTATTTGCCTGTATAGATGAACTTTTAAATGTTATGGAAAGGAAACACGTATAACCTGACAGTATTTAGACTGATTTGAAGGTGAATTTAAAAATGACAGCCACAAGAGTAATCTACAAAAGTAACCAGCTGATATAATATACAAAAAACAAACCAAGAGAGTGATATGGAAACCATTTATATAGACACTCTTCTTATAACCAACTCTGGGTGGCTCCAAATCAAAGTTGGGAGGTTTTAGAACATTATTTGAAGAAACTAAAAAACAAGAAGTAGAAGGAAGGAATATAAAGTTGTTTTATTTGATCAGGGTTAAAATATACATATTGTTATCATTTGTAACCCTTAATGGACTTTTGCTGACATCAGGACCGAGATGAGATATGAGAAGAAGATCATTTATTGCACTTTAAGAAAAGGTGATAAGTTACTAACATAGCTTATACTTGTGATCAGGGAGGAAGTCACTTCTTGACATATTTTCTTTTTTATTATATTCTTTTTTCTATTTTTATTTTTTTCTCCTTTATGTCTTGGCTTTTTTGAAATAAAATTTGGGGACCCATCCCCATTATGTTATCTTTCTCTCTAAGAGAGCCATACATAGAGAGACAAGAATATGTGTTTTACACAGAGGCAACATGGGATTTGCTGCTGGCAGGTACTATAATTTTAGTTGTAAACTCTTGATGAGCTTTAAGTTTGCAGGTTGCTGGTTGTGCACTAATGCTTTTCTAATGCCTTTGGATAGTCCTAAAATCAGGCTATGAGAGTCATAATATGTAGAAATACTAATACTAACAGATATAATGCTTCTGTCTAAAAGTATTCTCGAGGTTAGTATGGTTTGTTTTTCATTAACAGAGAACTCAACTGGTCCCTATTACAACTGGTCCCTATTTGTACCCTGTACAGAAAATTATTTAAGACAAATGATGCATGAGAAAAATGACAAATAAAGGTCTGGTTCTATGATTCTTACACTCTGTGTGATGAGTACTGTGTTCATTGTGGGGAGATGAGCTCACTCTTGTATTATTAAAGCTACATGGGGCTCCCTGTGTGGGCTGTAATACTTGAACAATGTACCGTATAATTTCAAGCAATAGGTGGTGAAAGTAGACCTGAATCACTTGAATAAAATCCAGAGATCAACTGTGTGTCTTTGTTTGTTAGATTTTATTGTGGATGTGCACTCTCAAACCACGCACGGATAAATACCTTATCTCAAGGATAGTTTAAATATGAATGTCCTAAAATTGCGTAAGCAACACAGACATGCTGAATTGACTGTGGGAAGGCTCTGAGAAAGGCAGGTAATAATACATCTATTTCTAGGTCAATTTGCCATATATTTTTTTTTTGGCAACTTGAGATAGCGTTAAGTGCCACTTATTTAATGCAGTAGAGTTGTAAGACGGCCCAATTAAAAAATAATAATCTGGACAGGGTAATGTATTGCAGAGATAAAGAGAAAAAGCCATCAGATGATACAGAGAACGCAAATGCCCCCTCCTAGAATCAGAGCCCATCAAGAACTCCAGTAGGTTATGAGAGAAAGGCCAAATTTTAAGGACTTTTTAAATTAAGACAAGAGTGGCAGACATGTGAGTCCTAGGGAGGATGCTGTTCCAAAGATGAGGAATAGTGATAGAGAAGGCATTCTTCTTGGATCCCATTAGATGATGACCCTGTCTTTGTGATGGGAGCAAAAACCACTGACTTATCAGATCGAACAGAACAAGCAAATAGGGAGATAGATGTATAAATGGCATCTTGACAGGTATGTGCAATTAAGCAGAGTACACGTTTACCCATGTTTAAACTGCTATCTAACTTTTCTTTAGTTTCTCACTTTTGCTGAGTACTTTTTCAACACCGTGTATTTATTACAAAGAACTATGAATATTACCTTCTGTTTTAAATAAACACTGTAGGAAATTCATTGCTTTATGGAGGTGGACTTTAATTATCCTGAAGCTCATCTATGAGAACATATGCTTACAGAGAGATGAAAATGATACGAATGCACAAGTTGGCTAGGTCCCCCTGGCAAAATTAAAATCATTTTTTTCCCTGGGGGTCCATCAGATTTCAATGATATATATGATTGTGCAAAAGGTCATGGGATAATGATGCTAAAGTAGAATCTATAATATTGTCTCACATTGATCTTGGAATTTATTTGTTTCCTCTCATGCTGAAACATGGCTGATTATGACAAACTCAATTAATAGGATAATGTTAAATGTTCATCAGTGTTGGACACTCTTTTTCGCCCTTATTAAATCTTCCTTCTTCATACAAAGCACCAAAATTACCTCTTTTTTTTGCATGTATTGAATGGAAAATTGTTTTCTTTTTCAGCCTTTTTTTCAACTTATAAAATTACGAAAACTTGGGCTTAGCGATAATGAAATCCAGCGACTTCCGCCAGAGATAGCAAACTTCATGCAGCTGGTGGAACTTGATTTGTCTCGAAATGGTAAGCATGAATATGTGTAAATCTGTATTAAGGTTTTTTTTACAGCACGGTTGAAAATGAATCAGCCTTAATTATTGCACTATAGAACTAGTTGGCAAATAGGTTTATGTATCTCTTCTTACTCTTCATGACTGACTTGAAAACAAACTATTAATGTCCAAATGAAAAGCAAGCTAATGAAGGGCCTGCCTAATATAATAAGGTCCCATGTTAGCTTGGCATGAAAATTTCCATGTCCATCCTTCTTTTGTCTGAACAGCTGTTAAGACTGGCTCAAGCCCTGCGTTGTGACTGCCTTTTTAATGCCGCCTTAACTGTGGCATGCAGAGTTTGCCACATATCCACATTATTTGAGCAACAGCAGTTACTTTGCAGGACTGGACAAGCTTTATGCAGTGCGTTCAACAAATGCCTGGATTCACACTTTGCATAATGGCTTTAAAAAAAAAAGTTTTTCCTTGATGTATGGTATTAACAAAGCCGTTGTGAGGTGGTTTTTTTTTGGAGGGGGGAGTAGTGTCTTGTTATAACTCAGCTACCTGTGAATTATTTAATAAACACTGCCACCAAACATGATGCATAAACCCAATCATTGTCTAGATTTTGCATTGTTTTGCATATTGTTTAAGAAAGGGAGAAAGCTTATTTTAATTGATTTTTGTAGACAGTATGGGATAGAGGAACTCATAGTTTGAAAGATTTTTTTTTTTAAATTAAAGCTTGATATGAGATTAAGAACCAGCAAATGAAAGAAATATACTGCTGAACATATCTTGATCCTGAAAATTGTTAGCTAATATTATTTTCATTGTCATGTTCTCCCAGAACATCATGTCTGAGAAAGTTGTGGTATAGGCTGTACAAATGGTATGTTTTCCATTAATACTTTTGAGAAAAAAATGGCAGATAAATTTTATTGGGATCATTGTATTCCTGAGAATCGTATAATCAAAAGCCTACTCAGGTATTATTTAAACCAGATTTCCCATTCATATATGCTTCCACATTAAAGGCTGATAGCTCTTATATTTAGAGGACGTTAGATTAGAAAATAATTTAAAGTAACAATGGAGGCTATTAACCTTCTGTTGTTTTTAATAACAATTGCAATCTACTACCTAACAATTAACATTTCATTTGATTTTGGTGCCTGCCTCAACATTGTTGTCACAAGCATAAAAATAAAGGAAGGCCTACCCCTTGGACATCCCTGAAGGGAAGAAACTGCTTTTTAAATTCTTTACTGTGACCCAGCATCTTTGCTCTTTTGTCCTAACAAGCAGGGGTGGGATTCAAATTTTTTAACAACCGGTTCTGTGGGCATGGCTTAGTTGGTAGGCATGGCTTGGTGGTCATGTTATTGGCTGGGTGTGGCCAACTCAATATCACTCAATTCGAGGCATGCATCTCCTTGCCTGGCCTTTCATGACTGTGGAGATGCTGCAACAGTCGTAAGTGTGAAAAATGATCATAAGTCACTTTTTTCAGTGCCATTGTAACTTTGAATTGTCACTCCACACAAGCAAAGTACCAGCAAAGGAGAGGAAAAAAACTCCAGAGAAACTCCTAAGACAGGAAGTCTAGTCCTGCCAAGAATGTAAAAAGGGTTAACAGAGAGGCAGTTTCTGTAAGCAACACCAGAATGTTTCCTTCCTGCCTTCCTTACAGGATTAGGCCAGTCATTTCTTCTAACAACCGGTTCTCTGAACTGCTTAGAATGTTAACAACCGGTTCTAGCGAATAGGTGGAAAACTGGTAGAATCCCATCCCTGCTAACAAGTACCCACCAAATTTTACATGCCTGTTTTTATTTTGCTTCCATGTTCTCCTTCACTTTGAGTTCAGAAGTATTTATTCATCACTTGGACATACAAACTGTGGTCCTAGACCTCATGTGCCCCTATTGCCATTTGTTTATTAAATTTCTTTTCCACCTTTTGTCCAGTAGCTCATGGAATTCTGCTTTCATGCAGAATTCTCTCTTTATTTGATCCCCATAGTAACAACCTCATAGGGCAGATGGGCTTGAGTGTAACCGGCTGGCTTAAAGTCAGCCAGGGAATTTCCCTGGCAGAGGACAGACTTAAACTTGTGTTCTTCCCAGTCCTATTCCAGGACTTCAGCCACTACATCTAACTGTCTTTCTTGGATTAATAAAAAAAACCCTTTCATCATTCAGTAACTTGATAAACATTAGTCCTTTCCTTGCAGTCTGCTGCATAGGGAAGATAGAAGAAACAACACAGTGAAAGGAAGAAGACTATTAAGAATTAGTTCTCTATCGTTTGCTCACTTCAGCCCTGCCCAGGGAGTAGCTGGCAACAATTAGAACTGTGAGAAAAAGATGTGTATTTTTAAAAGAAATTGTCTTCCTTTGGCCTAACATTAACAACCCTTCCTATACCCAATGTAAAAGGATAGCTGTTGCATTTCCTTTCCTGATCAATAAAATAACTAGCCTTGATTTTTATAACTGATCTGACACTTTCTTTAGGTCCTTTTCTTTTCAAGGGTCTAAATTTGGAAACTACCTGACCAAAATTCTAGTTTTACGAAAGCTGGAAGTAGGTTTTGCTAGCCATTGTGGATAATGATATGTGTATTCTAGTTACAATGAAATCATCCAGTTGGGTGATCTACTGCCATTTTTTTAAAGGTATTTTAGATATTTTACTGAAGAGGCTAAAGGAGGACATTTTAAACATTGCTGAGTAATGTGCTTTGTGTTGAGCATTTGCTATAATTGTTATTATTTTTTGCTGTAAGTCTTTTCTATTTTAGGCACTTTTAAAATCTAGCTATAATGTAGTATTTGACTTCTCTCCTATTTCATTATGAGCTTCTTTGTGTCTTACTTGCTGAGAATTGCACTGAGTTTTTTATTGAAGTAGTTTCACAGCTAAAATACAAATGAGCTTCATAGATTTATTTTTCAGTGTAAATTTGGAAATATCACAGTACATGATATTTCTTAGGAACTTTCTTTACTTCCAAGTTATTTTTACTTAATTAAAACTACTTCTTCACTTACAGGTATTTCAGGTAGCATAATTAAGGGTGTGGGATATTTCTTAATATCAAAGAATATGTATGTGAAGATATAGATCTAACTATATATACATACAAGCACAATCACTTTGAAAACAAAGCATTAACTAAATGTTTTGTAGAGAATACCATGAAACATAGCACTTTTTAATAGTGAATATTAGTAATTACTAATAGTTCTACAAGCTTGTACCTTAAGTAATTGTATATTCTACCCAGTTTTGAATCTGCTACACATTTGCATTGCCCAAAACAGATTTTCTTTTAAAAGGCTTCAAACAAGTACTTCTTCCTTCTGTGACTAGTCCTGTTTTCATCCTGAAAGCTGACTGTTTCATGTTAATTTGATTCAGATTAATTCTAACAAGAATAGGGATTTGAGAAATGAGAGAATCTCAGATAGAATCACATTGCCCTGAATTTGAGACTGAAGAAAGCAGAAATGGTGTCAGAATTTAGAACAAGCATTAACATTTAGTTTTTAACAGGACAAACTGATGATGGAGGGAGTCAGGGATTATGAGATTGGCTGGGAAACTGTCACAGAACATTGAAGCTGAAGACTACAGCAGCACCCAGTAACTTGGAAGCAATCACAACATCCCCATATTTCATTCTCTCAGGAATCATGGATCCTAGGTTTTGGACATATTCTGTAAATTAATCAATTTGAAGTGCTTTGGTTCAGAAATTGGTGCCCTATGGTGCATTGTTTTGCCCAGATAAAGGTCATGACATCAAAGGTTTTTGTAGTATACAGATGTCAGACCTTGTTTTCATTTGGGTAACTTAGCAAAATGTTAAACTTCTTTTCCTTAACTACGGTTAACACATCAGTTAGTTCTAGTATAGACATTATACCAAGCCTAACCATAAGAGTTTTGGGTGCTGTTCTAATCATCTTACTCTGGATAATAAGTTTTTAATTAAAATTTTGATTGGCAAAACCAGGTTACAATTCCCTCGTTTGTGAGTTGGTGTTATATTTGTTTAAAAGATGTTGAAAATTTCTCTTTTGTTTATATGTGTAAAAAAATGACCAATAGAGGAAAGGAATCCTGCAGTCCAATATTCTAGTTTAATTGTAATGAATTAGCTCAAAAGCCAGAAAAACAGCTAAAACTTTGAGATCTTTAAATCTCTTCAATAAGCAAGCTGTAAAAAGAGGAAATTTTAGATGGAACTGAGAAGGGAAAAGTCTGGAAAAAATCCAGAATCTCTAATTGCCGTTATTTAAGCCTATAATGGTTAGAAATCTAGGAAGAGAATCAGACATCCACATTAGGCTCCACCTAGTGGCACTTATATTAGGTCCATAAAGTGTGGTTATTAAGTTACAGGGATGCACTGTTATACATTCGAAAATATAGAGATCCAGCTGCACTTCAACATTTCTGCATCTGCAAGAAAAACATACATATTCCTTGGAAGATGGAAATAACTATACAGTGTTTGTTGTTATGTTATGTTAAGTTGTTACATTACGTTATGTTATAAAACAAACTAGAAGTTATTAAAGTTGGTACATTAAATCAAATATCTCTGAACATCTTAGAGCTATTCTAAGGTGACCAACCATCCTCCTTTAGGGAGGCCAGTCCTCCTTTTGTAAGTTCTCCCCTCTCTCGAAAAGTGTCCTCCTACATGTCCTCCTTTTTGATATTTGAAGACTAATCTGTAAAACTCCATATTTGATCAATGCTGATCCGATCCGTTGTGTGTGATGTGACGTATTTGTATTTGACATGACGATTCATCAAGGCTCGGTACAGTGCGGCGAGACGCGATTATGATACGCATGTGCTCCACGCACAGGAGAATTGTTTTGAGAGAGTGTGCCACGTGCAAATGGCTTTGTTTTTTTTCTTCAATTTATTTGTATCCTCCTTCTCATTGTAAAAAAGTTGGTCACCTTACCATCCTAATAAAACTATTGTTGTAAGAAGCATACTAAAATGTTTCTTGCAGCCACTCTGGCTTAGTAGGCCTTTTCTATATTCTCAGTTACTTCTGCAAAATTTCGTAAAAGACTGCTGCTTCTTTTCAAGAAAAACACTATCTCTGCTGATAATGGCCTAGCATAGGAGATTTTTCTTCCCTTCTTTTTCCTGTTCCCATTCTTAGCTTTCATTGCTTAGGAAGCTAAAGAATGCAACAACCCCTGGTGAGCCATTGTGTAATTTTACTTTACAAGTTACTTAAAGCCTTAAGTATAAATTTATGCTGGGGTTAAATCTATGTGAAGAAAAAAAAAAAAGAAATTTCTGCCTGGGTATGGTATGGTTTAGGTTTTGTTTACAGAAACTTCATAGGAAGTTAAGAAAGGGTGCTGGATAAAGCACAGTGGAATTGTTCCAGCCACGTTCTTCCCTCCCTTAGTTCAGATAACAGGGGTTTCACTTGCCTTGTTCAATTCTGTGGGATTTTAGTGAGGGGGTATGAGGTAGTAATGTCAGACTGACTGTCTTATTAGACTCCCATGCTGCACTGCAGGTAGGTTTTTCAGCTGTGACTGCAATTCACATTTCAGCTGTGATTCTCTTAGCATTAAGTGTATGGAAAGAAACGTGTGTCCTCGTATTTATAATCCTGCTTGCATGGCATTTTTCCCATTAGCCATGCTAACTTTCAGTTGATGGAGTGCCATACTGCGTCATAGAGCTTATACTTTATAGCCTTACGGTTTAGCAGTGCCAGGGTATCCACTGCCAAAGCATCTGGTCGGTCACATGTATAAATAAGAGCATTCTGTGTTGTGTAGGACAGAAAGGGTCCTGCACATTCAAGAGAATTGGATTGATTAACTAGCACCATTAAATATTCTTTGACCTGGTTAGCTGTAGAGCAGAATTATATAAACAGGCGTACATCAGTCTATTTGATCCATACTTAATAGGACATTTTCCCTAGTTAACACACACACACCTCCCCAACTATTGGCTTTTGGAAGAGTTTGCCAAAAATTAAAATTATTGTTGTTAATTGAGAATAAGGCATTAAAAATTCTTGTTAGGACAAGTTGACAGTGTTCAGAATCTGTGTTCTCTGGAACTGAAAATTGTAAATAGAGATGAAGAGTTTTAAATTCATTTATTTTATTAAATTTATATGATTACCAAATCAGAAAACCTAAAGTTGGCTTATATAATTATTTTTATATATAAAAGTAAGCAATCAGGATACAAATGATATAAAGTAAAACTATGCTGTGGGGGTGGGTGGATGGATTTCCTTCTTTGTGGTCACAACATAGACCCTGATTTCTTTGCTGCAGTGCCAATTGTAGGATAAGTTACCAAAATATAGTCAAATTAATACATATGAAAACTTGGAATACTTTACTCATGTAAAAGCTGATTATTTTCTTAAAACCACTTGTGTGTGCTGAATATGGCTAGATCCATACCATGTGTATACACGCAAGCCACTCATGATTTAAGACACTGCATACACCTACTCAATTCATTCAATAAATCATGATTAAAGCAACCTCAGTTTAATATGATATGTGAAACAGGCCTATGACTAACGTCAAACAAATAAACTATGTTCTTCTATGATTGATGTATGGAATTCTGAATACTCACATATTAAACCTGATACAGCTAGTATTTGACTTACAACTGGTTATTGTTTGAAGTTATGATTATGATTAACCCAAATCATAATTTCGATCCATACAACCCAGATTCAAAGTTCTGACAGTTGGACCTCTTCCATGGTCATATGACCTGAGCTTGGGCACTCAGCCACTCAGCCACATTTACAGCTATTTGCAGTGTCCCACAGTCATGTGACCGTGTTTTACAGTGGTTTTGCAAAAACCGGCACTTTTGGTTTTGGCAAAACTATACCTGTACCCATAGCAAACAATTGGTTCAATTAATGACCCCCTGTGGACTGCTTAATGACTATTGAGGTGGACTATCCTATACTGCCAAATTGTAAAGACAATAGTATGCTTTTTTTTTGGTTAAAGCTTGACTTCCATTTTTTAAGCCTATTCTATCTCTTTCCTCTAAATGCTATTGTGTAAAAGTCATGATTAATTTGTCATTATTAAATCAAGTTTATTATTACAATGAAAGAATAGTGTATTAAAGAAAATAAAACCAGAAAGATAAAATTAATGAAATAGAATTAATAAAAGGACTGGCAATTTAGATCCGCGAGTATGGACCTTATACATTTGATTTCCTGATTGCAGGAGATAATTAATATTAGTCAGATAATTAATATCTGATTTTCCCTCCTACAGATATTCCTGAAATCCCTGAAAGCATCTCATTTTGCAAATCATTACAGATAGCAGACTTCAGTGGAAATCCTCTTACAAGGTAATCTTCATAATCTATAGAACTGTGAATCCTTTCCAAACTTTTTAAAAGTGTAAAATTGTCTTTTTCAGTTTTATATATCTTCTTCAAATAATAGATTTGATTCTACTAAAGAAAAATGGGTTTTTATAGTTAAATGAAATTGTCGTTGCCCCAGGAACTATTTAATGGTATTCAGACGTGTTAAAAAATTGTGATCAACAAAAGGGAAAACATGAATTATGGGATCACTTTAATCTCAACATTGATAAGCATAACAATAAAGAAAAAAAAGGGGGAAAGTTCATGCTACTCAGATCTGAGGACACCTATGACTTACAAATAGATACCTGCAATCTGTAATAGCTGGCTGGAACTCATCAATGATACAGAATCTGAAAAAATTCTTAGGCAGATTCAGAAGTTGTAGGAAAGCTAATAGATGTCTCAGGACTATTATTTAATACCTAATTAGCATATGTATATATAATGGTTCTGGTAGTTTTGAGGGATACTTCTGAACAAAAGATAATAAGATATCTCAGTTTTAAATTAATGGTTTGATCTTGCAGTTTAAAAAACAAGAACAACCCCGTATGAAATGCTACTTTTGCTACTGAGAATGGATATGAGGGATGTCTAGTTGCTAATTGTCCCGGAGAGCAAACTCCAGAAAGAAAATTGGCTGGCAGATGCCACTGTATCTCTGGTGATTCATTGTGGTGCTTCATTGCCTCCCACTCATTAAAAGTTCTCTGATTGAGACAAACGGTGTAGCCCAGACAAGTTAAAATGTTCCCTGTTCCATCCATCCTACCAACAGCTAATTGCTTCCTGTTAAGTACCAAGAACAGGGCTTATAAATTGGCTCCTTGGAGACAATATCTCATGTGGAAAGAAAGCAGTTGTAATTCACTGTTTCATAAGAAGTTATAGCCAATGCAGACAACCCGTGGCCACCAATCCCTTCTTTTTTTCACAGTCGCTGAACCCCTTTCTGATCACACTGTCAGTTTCAGGGTATATTTACCGAAAGTCCATTTCAGTGTTTTAGGTGGGACACTCACTAAAATAGTTACATGCTTTTGAAAATAGGTTTGGCACACTTTAAACCAAAGCAATAGCTTTCCAAAGACCCAGTTAATTCTAAATCATACGTCCACAAGTATTTGTGATAAACCAAGCATGTTTTTTCATATTATGAATACATAGAGTAGGGCTGTCAAACTCGCGCTGTAATGACGGCATCACATGACATATTGGGACGTTTTTTTCCCCCTTTGCTAAACCGTGCGGGGGTGGGGCCAGCCCGTGACTTATCCATAGGCTGCAAGTTTGACACCCCTGGTCTAGAGTTTTAAGGTTTGCTGTGGAGACATGATTTTAATTCTATTCATGTCTCCAGGAGTGTTTGCTTCCTGCTTTGTAAACTTCCATCTAAAACCAAATATATTATTCCAGTAAATAAACTTGAAACATTAATAATGCCAGGTTTCCTTCTGGAGAACTGAATTTACCCTTTGTCATTCTCAAGGATAAGTTTTATTTTTTCTCTATAGGTTGCCTGAAACTTTTCCTGAATTACAGAATTTAACATGTCTCTCTGCGAATGACATCTCTCTTCAATCATTACCTGAAAATATTGGAAAGTAAGCTTTTTTTACTTACAGAATGTTTGACACCTAAATGTGTCACGAATGGACCTTAGATATAAATTTAGATCCTCGTGAATATTTCAAACAACAGTCCCCTCCAGACCAAGGGCATTGTTAATATCCTGGATCATTTGCACCTGGAGTAGTGGGTCTACTAAAAATGTCACGAGGAATCTCCATTTCAGCCTCAACTTATGAATGGCATCAAGCACTATTTCAGCATAGAATGTTTCCTTTTGCCTGGGGATGGTTTTAAATATATTCTTTTCTATATATAATGAAAGAATACTGCCCTTTAATAAACATATGTAAAACATACAAGCATAAGCAGTAAAAAATGGGAAATGTCAAAATGTCATGATGCTGATAACAGATGTCTTGCATGAAAATATAAACTTACAATTCTTCTATAATTTACACGCTGGTGTCTTTATTTATGTTCATGCTTGTTGATGCTTGGTAGAAATAGTTGCGTCATAGATTTTTCCTTGCTGTTTCAGCTGTTTCCTTTTGAAATTTTGAAATTGTGTCTTAAATAGCATTCACAATAGGCACTTTGCGAAGTATGTTAGTACATGCAAATCACTTTTCCTTACAACATTAACACAGTCACATATGTGGCTGCTCCAGAGGCTATCGGCATGCAGGTGCATGCACAGCTATTTCATTTGCTGATGGTACTAACTGAAGCTATGCCAATCAAGGACAGTCTCTGCAAGTATTCCAGAAAATGCCATATTGCTAAGATAGTACACCTTTCTGTGTGAAGCACATCTTTCTATCATTTTGCACAGCTGTTTCTTATGTTTGAAAAAAGTCATCCTTTTGGCCATTATGTTTGAAGTTATATAACTTATAGCAGTCAGCAAAAATTTCTATTCACTTATTCTTGCAACAACTATTCTTATGAGACACAAAAAAAGAGTCTTTTTCCCAATTGTGATTGTTTTTGATGGACAGAATTTTTGACATCACTTGAGCAGTTTTGAAAGTACTAAATTCAGTGTTTGAAAGTCTAGTATAGAGCGGGAAATATAACATTGTCCAACTGAATAGAGTAACCCTAATATTCTGGGTGCTGCCAGAAATTAGTGTCTTCGGTGTCCCAGTTTGAGGGCCAGGAGCAAGATAGAACTCAACATATGATTAGTAAAATGTCTAGTATATCCCAAAGGTGTCTGGCTCATTAAAAAAAATCTCTGACATGAGAGTCATTTAAATGTGTATTCCGAACCCTAGTGTTTCTTAACAATAATATTAGACTTTTGATCATGGTTTTGTTCAATTTTGCTGTCAGTTTTACTGTTCTGTGTAAAAATTCCTAATCTCCAATAACTCAGGTGTAATCGAAGTGATATTTGTTAGTTGCAGGGGTTATATGTCATTGGATAATGAGAGTGTGAACCTAGAGAAACCATTCTTTACTATTCGTTTGTTTCTTTACTGTAATTATTTTATGCTGCCTGATCCATTGAATGAGATGGGCGGTTTTGAGATCCAGAGAATAATAAAAAAGGAAAAAGCAAAAAATAAGAATATTGTGTCTTGGCTATCTTCCTCTTTCTCACTCTCATGTATTCTTCATTTTTACTGCTGAAGGGAGAGGACAACTTACAGAGTAAGAATGTGACAAATTAGGATTTCTGTGAAATTGGGGATGGGCAAGTGAATAAACACTTCTGCACAAAAGGTGGAGTGATCAAAACTGCATGTCAGAAACCGTGAACAAATGAAACTGATTCTTGTATGGGCAGATATGCAGATAACAACATAGCGCAAAACAAGGTTTTCTTGCATTTGGTGTAAATACCTTTCAATTCTCCAGTTTATTTCTAATTCACGTTGATAGACTTGGAGGATGGAATTAGTATCTTTTCCTAAGCATTTCAATCTATAATTCCTGGTGAGGATTTGTTTGAAGTTAAACCATCTTTTGACTGGAATAGGAATGAGGATCTGCGTATTAAAAGGGCTAAATACAGCTAGCTACCATTTTAAATTAATAGATCTCTTCAGAAATAAAAGTGACATTTTTTTGAAAAGTCAAGATAATTTTTTTTCAGTTTTCAATTTTTATTGCACGAAGACTAGAGATTATTGAACAGGATGTACTGCTGTAAAATTAGACTTCATAGGTGAGAAGAAAAGAATATAAAATCATACTTGAAAAAAACCCCACACTTGCTTTTCTCTATTCTGAATGTTCTCTTTTTTTATAATATGCAATCTGTTAAGCCCACATACTAGCTCAAGAGTGTTGATATCCAATCTCAGATTGAAAAAAAAGTATTTCCCCCTTTTTTCTTAAAGTTCACTTTGCAATTTTGCTATCATTTAGTGTTACCTGTGTATGTAACCTTTTGGTTGGTCGTCGGGTATAAAATTGTGGTTGAAATATATTCATGGGTTTTGCTGATCAGAAAGATTTGTCATTATAGAAATGGCTAGTTATATATTAATATGTAAAAGCAAAAAGTTGAGGATGGAGTATTTTTATCTTGTACTGTGCTAAGAGTCGAAAGTCAGTGCCTTTTTTTATTTTCTTTCTCCTTCCTTGTATCTCACACACCCCCTTTCCCTGCTCCTCTTCCTTCCCTTAAGTTCCTGTTTTCTTTTTTCTTTTTTTTATATTTTATATAATAAAAAAATTAAAATAAACATACTGTTGATGTTTGAAAAAGGTCAGTCTGCAGGCAGGCTTTTGCAGCTTCCCCAGAATTGCAGTGTGCTCAAGTTCATGTTTCTTATACTGTAAACAAGAGATACTTTCTCTCCTCTTTCTGTAACATAAAATTTGCTATTAATGTAAAGAACTCCAGGGGATTGTGGTGCTCTCTCTGGATTCTAGTTTCAAGGATACTCTCTGATCATATGCTGTACAGGTAGTCCTTGACCTACAACCACAATTGGGACCAGAATTTCCATCGCTAAGCGAAGTGGTTAAGGTGAAGTGTAGCCGATTTTACTACCTTTTTTTAAACAGTTGGTAAGCGAACCACTGCAGTTGTTAAATGAATTATGCAGTCATTACATGAATCTGGCTTCTCCCATTGACTTTACCTGTCACAAGACAGTGATCCCATAACCCTATGTTACTGCAATCATTGTAAATGCATGCCAAGCATCCAAATTTTGATCATATTGTTGTGGTTCACCGGCAGCTGGTGCAGACAGCAAAGGTATTAGACAGTGAGGATGAAAGGGGACCAGTCTGTGAGTCTGGAGAAGACTTAGAAGAGGGTCCTGCATCCAATGAAGGGATGCAGGGGCCAGGACCATCTGGGAGTGGGGTGCTGCCTTCGGAGCCTTCGGAGTCCGGCAGTAGCGAGGCAGAGGACCCAGGGGAGCTTGTTCCCAGTGCGCGTGTGCGCAGAGCTGTTAGAAGGTGAAAGAAGCTGAAGCAGAAGGGGCGACTCAGAGGGGTGATTGCCCCTTCCATAAGGGATAAAAGTCAGACCTCAATGATGAAAAGCTTTGCAGGAAGCAAAGTAATTCAGTAATTTTTGAGTCCTTCTTGAAGCTCTGTACTCTGGTCAGTTTTTTCTGGGGTTTTGGGTTGGTTTATGTTTAGCCTTAAGTGGGATTCTGTTTCTTGGCAGCATTCTACAGCACTGAAAAGCGTGCTCTTATCTGGAGGAACTGTGTATGATTAGTTTTGGCTGGGATTTGCAAGTAATTCCCAGCATTGCATTAAAATAGGTTTTATTGTTAAAATCAGTTTGTGTTTTATAAAATTTGATGAAGCCTGGGTCAAAACACATATGCCTGTGGGGAGGTTGAAAGGACTAATCATAAATCACTTTTTTCAATGCAGTCAAACTTATAGAACTTACAAAAAAGACTTTACCAGGGTAATAAAGTCTAGACCTAGAAGAAAGCAAAGTTGAGATAATAAATGTACTAACTTTATTCCTCTGTCATCCTCTCTCTATTGCCTTCCAGATGTAGAAGGCACATGGTAGCAGGACTGATTTTCTTCTTATTATTATTTTAGGTGTTTTTTGTGTAAATTAGAAGCCTCGTTTTCAGGATTCTAAATCACAGGGCCCCTCAGCTGAATTTCCTTCAACATACAGAAAGGGACAACCCAAAAGCAGCCCATTTCCTCTGCATGAATAAGGAGAACATATATTTAGAATTCCTGATACGGTCTTCTAAGCACATCCACATTTTACTGTTAGTGTGAGATCTCTGATTTAATATATTTATTTTATTGCTTAATCAGTTATTGGAATGCTGAGAAACCAAATTGCATTTTGCAACTGGTAGAACATGGAAATGGCTGTTCAATTAGATGTATACATAACATGTGTAATTACTAGTTAACAACTCTAATGCATAGCCAACATTACAAAATTCACATGTGAATGAAAAACTGCTACGTTTAAGCATGGCTCTAATTTAAAACCGAGCCAACTTGTTTTGGAATGTGTTCCCTAAGGCTCCTGATAGGTTCTATACTTCAAACCAGAAGTGACATCTGGAATACTCAAGGAAGAAAGCAACAAATCTTATTTATTTAAGAAATTGCATCTTCTCTTTATGTTGATGTGGCTATTATCTTGCATGGAATATTTAAACATTCCTAAGCCATATGGTTTTTGAGATTTGGTTGAAAAACTTTTTCTCCATGACAGTATTCAAAACATGCACATACGTTGGTCTTATTTCTGACTTGATACATTTCTAGAATAGGCCAGTATTATAAATCCATAGTTCTGTGGCCCAATCAATAGGCCTAACGGGTCATCCTCAATTAACTACAGTTCATTTAGTGACTGTTCAAGGTTACAACATCACTGAAAAAACGTGATTTATGACCATTTATGAAAGTTGCAGCATCCCTGTGGTCCTGTGATCAAAATTCAGATAGTGGGGAACTGACTCATATTTATGACAATTGCAGTGTCCCAAGATCACATGATCCCCTTTTGCGATCTTCTGACAAGTAAAGCCGATGGGGAAACCAGATTCACCTAACAACCATGTTCCTAATTTAATAACTCCAGTGATATTGCAAGAAAGGTCGTAAAATGGGGCAAAATTCATTTAATGAATTTTTTTAGCAACATAAATTTTGGGCTCAGTTACGGTCTTACGTTGAGGACTACCTGTAAATGTACTGATTAAGATTGAGATCTCATATATCTGAATCCCATGAGGTTCTATAACAAAAGGAATTTCATAGCCAGAACCAGAAGTGAAATGCTGCTGGTTCAGCTGAACCGGTATTTCCAATGATCAGCTGTGTGATGATCAGCTGTGCTGTGCGAATTAGTTTAGCTAGAAAGCAGGAAATTGTCAGATTTCTTGCTAATCTAAATCCTGCGGCACAGCTGATTCCCCCCTTGCTGTTGTACTTACTTCAGAAAGCTTCAAAATGCTTATTTTTTCAGTTGCCAGGAGGGTTCCCTGAGGCCCAGGAGGCCAAAAATGGGGCGCGTGGGGGGGTGCTGTGAAAGAAAAAAAAGACTTTCGACCTCCTCAGTCACATGACCACCTGGCCATGCCCACCCAGTCACATGACCACCTGGCCACACCCACAGAACTGGTAGTAAAACATTTTGAATCCCACCACTGTCCAGAACCCTATGAATTATTTTATTTGGTGGGTAAGAAGGTGGATCTGCTTAAGAGTGCTGCATACTGACCCAGAGAATTGAGAAAAGGGAATTTCTTATCCAACCATTAAAGAAGGGTAGCACTGGAGTAAGACTAGAGCAAAATGTCACCTACCGTCCTGCAGTTTGCTTGGTAATAATGCAGATAGCAATCTAGCAATCCCTAGATTAAGAACCAGTTGTGTTCCTAACTCAGTATTTAACTCAAATGTATATGTAAGTTGGAACCCGTATTTACAAATGGGCTACCTATTACTAGAATGGTAGATGGCATTGTCCTGTCTCAAGCTTTCAGAAACTTCCAGGAATATAGGAAAACGCACTGTATATTCAGCGGTTCCTAAAAGCACCGCGCAGCTTCAGCTATTTGTCAGTTCAAGGAAGGAAAACCCCATCTGTTGTTTTTAGTAATTTGAAGCCTGGTTCATATTTAGGGATTATCCTTAAATTGGGAATTCTTAACCTGGGGAATGCCTATATTAGAATAAGTGAAATAAAATCAACGGGGAACTGTTCAGAAAATGACAGGTCTAAACAATTTGGCATTTTAAATTATAAAAGCTCCAAAGGGAGACTCTGACCAACATGGCTAAGTTAGATTTTATTAGTAAGTTGCAATTACTGTGTTAAAAGTTTATAGTTCAATTTTGCATATTAAGAAACTAGTACGTTTGCTACTACTTAGCCAAGAACTCAAATATGTGCACTGTGACAAGCTCACTTTTCTTTCATTTTATACTTCACTGTCTATAATACTAACATTTTTTCTGTGTATACATATCTGCCAACTAAGGCAAAATTTTGTCACCTGACAAATGTGGCTCTAGAACTCGATTTCATTGAGGGCCCACGGGCCTTGAGTTTGACACCCCTGCTCTAGCATATGGCTGTTCTCTTAAGTTCTTTACAGCTTTTTACAAATGATTACTGTGGCATTTTTTTTTCTGGAATCCATTTTTCTGGAATCCATTACCAAGGCAAAGGCAGCTATGTTTTAGAAAATGCGGATATATTGCTATTTTTATTTTGAAATTGAAGGATTAAAGCAGATTATAGCATTGGGAAAATATCCAATCCAATTTTGTGTTTCATTTAGTTCTATGGAGTCCTGGGAGGGAAAATGTTACGATGGTGATGTAGACTTTTACTGTGTTATGAAGAGATGACAATGAAAAACTTACCCATATAAGGTCATTTACAGTGAGAACTTCATTATGAAATGCTATGAATAGGATCCTTTTAATTAATCCTTCCGTGACTAATCCCTTAAATCGTAATGATCAAGCCAAGAAATACAATTACTGTATATTCAGATTGCAGTGAATATATACTTTCATGCCTATTGAGGAAAATAGTTTATATTGTCTTGAAAATATTAGGTAATAAAAACATATGATTTATCTTCTGTAGAAACACTCTTTTTTATTATGCATAGAGGTATGTACTTATTTAATATACACTGTAAACACCACAAAGTGTACGTGAAATACATTTGATAACATACAGGTAGTCCATGACTTAACTACCACAGCTGGGATTGGATCTTCCATCATTAAGCGAGGTGCTTGTTCAATCTGTAGCACTCTGTTTTACAACTTCTGTGCCATGTAAGTTAGGTAAATTGCTGTTGTCATTAAATGAATCACATGGTCATTAATTAATCCATCTTTCCCCATTGACTTGGCATGTTGGAAGCCAGCTAGAACTGGTAATTACATGACCCTGGGATTCCTCATGAATACATGTTGGTTGCCAAACTAAACTCCTGGATTTTTATCATGTGACTTTGGGGACACTGTAATGTATGTAAGTGTGAGAAACACACACACACACACACACACACACACACCATACTCTTTATATATAATTTCCCTGGATTTTTAGCTATCCTCTCGGTTAACATACAGATTCACTATATTTACTGCTTTGAGAATGATACACACAAACTTCCTGCTTTCTTGCATTGATTCACCTTCTTTTTACATGTGGGTTGCGTGACAGTTAACGTAGCTAATTTTACAGCAATACTTTTGACTAAATGGTGCACTTCCAAGGAGGGTAGTGATCTGGCCTCTTTCATGGCAGGTAGGGCACTTGGAAGGATGAAAGCATTTTGGCACAGCCCCACCAGTGATCTGTAGAGGGTAAAGAGAATGACATTGGTGGAAAGAAGGAAGATCTGTTATCAAAGCAACAAGTAGCTGAACATTGCTTAAGCCCAAATGAGAAGGGGAAATTATGAAAATGTCAAAGATAGGTATACACACACACACACACACACACACACACACACGATTTATATTATTTAAAAGAGAAAAGAAGGGAAGCACAGTCATACTTGCAGGGTTCTGGTACTATAGCCAATGTTAATAAAAGTAGGCTCATGTGGAGCCTTTTGGTCTGATCTAACTTGTAGGGTTGTAACCTATCAGTCTAGACCAGAGGTCTCCAAACTTGGCAACTTTAAGACTTGTGGACTTCAACTCCCAAAATTCCTCAGCCAACATAGGGTGGCTGAGGAATTCTGGGAGTTGAAGTCCACAAGTTCTGGGAATTGAAGTCCACAAGTCTTAAAGTTGCCAAGTTTGGAGACCTCTGGTCTAGAAGAAAAAGTTGGGGATCACCTTCTACCATCTAAAAAGTCCAGTATCTCTGAGCATGTTGTTCCCGCCACTTCTGCTTCTTTCTGCTTGGCTTACCTGGTCAGAAATATTGCTTAGTGTAGGTTTCAACTTATGCAAAAATCAGCTGAGGTAATATATCTACCTGCTTACTTAGACTTTAAGGAAATGCTTGAGGTATCCTATTGACAACGCCTACTTTTTGTTTTCTTTTGTAGCACTTTTTATGTCACACAGGGGTTAACCATATTTATTCTGTGTCTCTAGCCTCTATAACCTGGCGTCACTGGAATTAAGGGAGAATCTATTAACATATTTACCTGAGTAAGTATTTTCTCTGTTTTTTTGTATGCATGGACAGCATGAGAATCTTTTGTTCCCTGAATATGGAAATGAAATTAAAGAGTAGAATAAATCTTCCAGCAGGAAATAGTTATTACTGGAGAATAATGTCTTTATTTCATCATGGAGAAAATCTATGTGGTTTATTAGGAGTCGAAAATGACTTGATGACCACAAAATCAATCACTCAATCAATGTTTTATTAACATTAATTGAAGTAATGCTCGGAAAAACTAGACAACCCATGACCTCTTTGGTCATTCTTTCAGAGATATTTCCTTATCAGATTCCTCAATGATTTCAGCAATGGCAGAGCTTCTAATGCACTTCAAAAGCCCTTAGAAATTCAGAGAGGTATTCAGAGATGTATCTGCCTTGAAAATAACCCACATTGATCTGCATAGCACAGTCAAGCACCCATCAGGAGTTGATCACAGGAAATGATATTTTTTTACATTTTTCATAAAATACTTTATGATAATTTTATGTCATAATATGTTTTATAAAATCCCCCAAATTTCAGTTCCATGAGAGTCATGGGTCCTAGATTTTGGACACATTCTGTAAGTTAGCCCATTTGATTGAAGTCCCTTGGTTCAAGAGGTTTTGCCTTATGATGTACCATTTCTCCCAATTAAAGGTTGAAGACACAAGTGTCTCAATAGTATTTAGATCATATTAAGAATGTTCTACTCTAATTTCAATGCTAAATTTTGTGTTTATGATCTTTTAAAATTATATTGTTCCTGATTTTCAGGTCAGTTGCCCAGCTGCAGAGACTAGAAGAACTAGATTTAGGAAATAATGAACTTTATAATTTGGTAAGCACTGTACATGTTGAAAATTCAGTATACAACTTCCTAAACTCTCAGTTGTAAGCTATCAAAAATAGGCTGCAGAGTTGACTTGATTGTGTGTAATTTGTTTTTTTCTAGCAGTTCTCAAAACTATCTGTTTCTTGGCTACCTTAACCATGTTAAGTTACAGCATGCAGTTTTCTGTGTGTATTTTTTGTTACTATTTTTTTAATTCAAAAGGAAAGGCTGAGGATTTTGTTGCTTTTTAAAATGTATTTAAATCTCAAAAAGATATACAAAATAACAAAAAGAAAAACTAGGAAGGAGAGGATAAAAGGGGGGAAAGGGTGAAAAATGAAAAAGGAGATTGACTTCTGACTTTCTTTAGCACAGTAAGCTCTTAATTGAAATTAAAACAAAAAAATATATAGATTAAACAGTCAAGATAAAATTAAAATTATTCAATGAAAAATTTCTTGCTCTAAATTTAAACATAAGCATAAAATATAAAGAACATATGTCTAATAATATGAATATAAAAATATGACATTTTTCTAATAACAAATCTAGTAATTGAGTCCTAAAATCAAAATTTCATTTTTATCTTTCTCAAGCAAGAAGTCCAAAAGTGGTCTCCAAGTGAAAAGAAAACTAGATAGGCTTTTATCTTTCATCAATTAGTCGGTTTTGCCATTTCTGCCAATTCCATGGATCTCACTTAGAGGTGTTATTCAGCAGGTTCTGACCAGTTCTAGAGAATTGGTAGCGGAAATTTTGAGTAGTTTGGAGAACCAGCAAATATCACCTCTGGAGATTTTACAGGATCCTTCCCCTGCCATGCCCACCAAGCCACTTCCACAGAACCGGTAGTAAAATTTTTTGAATCCCACCACTGATCTCACTCCCTTATTTTTCTCCAGGAAAGGCTGAGGATTTTGATCTAGATTGGGACTGCAACACATTATTCCTTCCACCATCAATCCAATTGTGTATTTTCCTTCTGTGGAATCAAAGTAATTAAATTTTTAAAAAGTTCCATTAATGTCCAGGGTAGAAAAATGACTTCTATTGAGCCATAGGACATGTCCAACATCCATCCATATGTCGAAGGGAAAGATTAAATCTCATGTTTCAACTTGATCTCTAGTCCATTTGGCATGCTTGCTTTTGAGTTAAAGGGGAAAAAATAAGGGATGATAATGTACTATGTATTTAAATGTGCCAAATAGCTGATTTGGGGTTACTTCGCTGGAAGAGCTGGCTGAGAGCTGACTGTGCTTCAGAAGAAGAGAAACCTCTTGAGGCAGGAGAAGGAGGATTTCCTTGGAACCACCTGGATCACATGGGTGTAGCTCTTTCTGCTGTTATTTGTAAAAAGCTCTGGTTCACTAGGCCATGAGTCAGCAGCTTTTATGAGTAAGGCAGAACAGGGCTTCTTTTTGGGAAAATATTTGCATTCTGCCTCTCTCTGAAGCAAGGAATGTCACCAGACATCTTCTCTAAATTGAGAAGAAAACTTCTCTTCTCTTCTCTTCTCTTCTCTTCTCTTCTCTTCTCTTCTCT